TATACATGCATGTGTCTTTATATATACATAATAAATATACATAGTACACACACATATACTATGTAGACAAAAACGTTTATTTTGGATGCGATTAATCGCGATTAATCGTTTGACAGCACTAATATATATAATCCACTTATTCTTAATATTTATTTTTATTATATATTTATATATAAATATATAATTTATATAAACATTGAGAATGTGTGTATTTTTAATTGTCATTAAAAAATCTCATTGCAAAAACATCTTAATGGTCCTAAAATATTTAACTAAAATTTCTAATCTCGTTCTTTTTGGGGGCTAAATAAATGTGATCATGTTGTTGATGGGTTTTGTGAGATTTCCCCTTTAGTGTTTGACTGATGTTTATTTTTGCATGAGATGAGACAAGTTTGATCTCACTCGAAACATTCAGACGTCTCTCCTTACAAAAGACAAATTGGGGAATGTTTTGATGGTCTGGAGCGCAGAGTAATGAAGTGCAGCAATGCAAAAGGTGCTTAATTGCATGTGTGTGTGTGTGTAGTGTTTCCCTCTGCAGCTCCTTTATATCTGTCACGATTCATTTCTATTCTCATGATTTCAGAAGTGTGAAGAGTTTTCCAGCAGACGGTCACGTCACTCGGCGCGTTTCTTCACTCTCTGATGGCCCATTTTTTCCTGACCGACTCCAGCTGTGAGAGAGAGACAATGAAAAAGATGACAGTGAGTTCACATGGAGATGCGACTGAAGCACAGACACGGCAGGCTTTATTATTCACCTCGTTCTCCACCATCTTCAGTCGGCCGAGGGCGTCTTTTGCTGCATCCTGAGAAACCAGAACAGCTCTTTAGCTTTAATCTAAATGACTGATTTAAAAATGTCTAAATCACTTCACAAAAGTGACATCCAGCTTTTGCGGTGTTTGTTTTTGATGAAACATCTGCGCAACTGCATGAGTGTTTCATGTCAACATGAAGTGACATTCGTAACCCATTTTACTTCAGTAATGTCAAGTATATCTGAGTGAAATGAGAACAAAAATAGACAGCTCACATCTTAATGCGTTTGCACAGAACAGCTAACGTCTGATTGTGTGTGTGTGTGTGTGGTTTGCTCACCCTGTTGCCTTGGCTGGAAAACATTTTGACTGAATCTGACAGACCGTGAACAAACTTCCGCAGCACATTTTCATATTCTGAGACAGACAGAGAGATACAGTACATTAATGATGGTCTGTTTTGCTCTTGAATGTCTTCAATATGTAGCACTGGAAAGTCCAATTCATTGAAGTGAATCAGTTTATTTAGAATGTTAATTTAAATGAAACATTTAAAAAGGATTCACAGATTCATTTGAATCATCAATCAGTATTATTCCCAGCATTTTATGTTCTCATTCGTAACAAAATAAACATCTAGTAAAATAGGACAGTTTATGGTTAGGTTTTTGGGTGTTTTTCTCTTTAAACTACTGTTCAAATGTTTTAATGTTTCTGAAAGAAGTCTCTTGTTCAACAAGTCTGCATTCATTTGATACAGTAAAAACAGTAATATGAAATAATATAACAATTTAAAATGACTGTTTCCTATTTTAAAATATATTCAAATGTAATTTATTGCTGTGATCAAAGCTGTATTTTCAGCATCATTACTCCAGTCTTCAGTGTCACATGATCCTTCAGAAATCCCTCTAATATACTGATTTGCCGCTCAATAAACATTTCTGGGCTGTGTTTCCCAAAAGCATTGTAAGCCTAAGTACACCGTAGACCTATTGCCACCAATGGAGCTATGATCCACTTTACGCTTACGATGCTTTTGGGAAACGCCACCCTAATCATTATCAATGTTCAAAACAGTTGTGCTGCTTTATATTTTTGTTGAATCCGTGAAACATTTTTTTTTCAGGATTCTTTTGTTGACTAGAAAGTTCAAAAGAATTAGAAATCTTTTATAACATTATAAATGTCTTTACTGTCACTTTTGATCCATTTAATGCATCCTTGCTGAAGAAAAGCTTTAGTGTCTTTGGGAATAAACCCCTGGCCTAACCCCCTTGGAAGTGAATGGTAGTGCACATAATTTGCAAGAGTTTTCTAATTGCATGTGGCACCTGTCAGTGCTGCCGGGTGTTTCTCCAGGAATGATTTCTGCCACTGCAGTCGCTGACAGACGTCCATGTGCTGCTTGATCAGCTCTGATGGCTCTCGTCGGTTCTTCTTATAATCGTTGATCTAAAGAGACGCACAAAATGACTCACGATACACTCTATATCCAGTCAACAGCTCAATCCTATCACTGACACACACCTTCCACTCCAGTCTCTCTTTGTCGTGCTGAAGCAGACTGAAGCTGTGCAGCTTATACTGCGGAGGAGACGAGCTGAAACCAACCAGAGACACGTGTGTGTTAAACACACTCACTGAGCGACAGGAAATCAGTGCCGTACGATCAAGCTTTCGTGTTACCTTGGTTTAGAGTTCCTGTCGTGATCGTTCCCAGGTTTGGATCTTGGAGGAGGAGCCTGCTGGAAATAAAATGCTTTATGTGGTTTCTGTCCAACTGTGTTTGTATGCAAGAACACATCCTGTGTGTGATATAAACAGCACTAATTGGCGTCTCATACCCGTTCCTTTTCCCTGCTTTTCTCCCGGTCTCTGTCTCTCTCCCGCTCTCGGTCCTTCTCCGGTGAAGGTGTGAGCGGGTCGATGACGAGCCACTTCTCCGTCACCGGCTGCAGCTGAACTCCAGACAGCGGCTCGCGGATCTTCACTCGCACCTCCAGCTTCCCTCCCGTTGCCTTGCGTCCATCCAACACCTGCAACAGCAGCACAGCCTCATGGGACACCAGCGCTCCTGTGCATGTGACATGTGTGTTTGTGTGAATCGCTCACATCAATGATCTCTCTGATCTCACACTGGTTCTCAAGAGCTTCCAGCTTCAGCTGAGCACTTCCCACCACTTTATCTGTCTTGAAGAGACCACTGCGGACACACACACACACACACACACACACACACACACACTTAAACCAATTACATGACAATTAAAATAAACAATTTTTATTATTTAAACTGTAGTAAAACATTTATGCTGATTTCATTTAAATTCCTTTTAAATTTTTTTTTTTAATTTAACATGTAAAAAAAATTACAGCATTGAGAATCATCATTGAAAATAATGTGACTGCAAAAAAAGCTAAAAACAAACAAACAATGCAGATACATAACAGTAATGAGAATTTGTGGAAAAAACCTGCTTAATTATCACTGTGAAAACTATGTATGTTAATTTTCGCCAAAAAAGTAGCAATTAATTGATCAAAAGAGCAATTTTAATTTTTTTAGTCCATGGTGGGAAAAAAAAATAGAATTTTGCGATGCAAACTCAGAACATCTGAACTGTGAAATGTAAAGTGAGAATTCATAGCAAAATTCAAAATCGTGAGATATAAAGTCACAATTACCTGTTTAAGTTTTATTCTGTGGAGGTAAGAAGCTTCCATGAAAAACATTAATGATCCAAAAATAATCTTATGAAAAATATTACTAATGTCATTTCTTTTGGGGTGGAATGCGATCTGGACGTGTTATTGTCAGATTCACTGTTAGTGTTGATTAATAGGAGTCTCACCCTTTGTGTACGACCTCAAACTTGATGCCTTTGGCCTGTACCACTCTCTTAAAGCCTCTGTGATCTCGCTTGATGTTCAGCTTGAACTGCTCCTTAAACTCTGAAAACACAGAGACTGTCAGCTAATGCCGCCACCTGTTTAACACACAGACTGCACGCGTGTGTGTGTGTGTGTGTACCTGGACAGTTGGTGTTTCTCACAGTGCTGGTTTTGTCTCTCTGAGCTTCTTCCTAAGAAACAAACACACACTGTTAGACGCCAATAGCATGTGTGTGTGTGTGCGTGTGTGTGTGTATGTGAAAGTGTTGCGTACCGCGCTGGGGAACGGGAACTCAAAGCGCACACTCGCATCCAGATCGTTGGCTGAAACTCCTGGAGAAAACAAAGAAAAGAACATTTGCAGCCATTCAGTGACAGAATCTCATTATTGTTTATTATTTATAGACACTAATATTCAAAAGGTTGGGGTCACTAACATTTTTTTTGAAAGAACTGAATTAAAAAAAAAAAAAAATCCCCCAAACGTTTCAATGGTAGTGTATTTCAGAGACCACGTGTTTACAGCATTATGACACACAAGCAGCACACAGGCACACGTTCACATACACACCTGGAGGAGCGGGCAGGTTGATTCCTTTCACGACGGTCAGCACCATGTCATTGGACATCAGGGTAGGAAAGATCCTAAACACAGACATGAAGACATTTAGTGAATCTGCAGGACGACTGCGCTGACAGACGTGTTGTGTGTGCGTGTGTTCTTACTTGACGGTGTTGAAGGTGCGCTCCTCTGTGTGGAATTTGGGAACCGATCTTCCTTTAGCGTGAGCTTTCTTCAGCAATTCGATATTACTCATGCATTCCTCAGCCAGCTTCTCAAACCTACACAGACACACACACACACAGACGCACACACAGACGCACACACAGACGCACACACACATATTTTCTATCATGGGGGCTTTCCATTTACTTGTAATATTTTTGTACTGAGCTCAGCAGCAATCCTGAAACCAAACCCTCAGCATTTTTTCTTTTTTATTTACTATGTTTATTAATCTGTTTTCCTCATGAGGACTGTTTGCTGCTCCCACAATGTTCATCTCAGGTTTTACTATCCATGTGGGGGCATTCAGTCTCCACAATGTAGGCAAAATCTAACGACACACAAACAAATACACTTTAAGGCTAAATTATATTTTATATTTAATTTAATATTTATGGTAGTATTTATGGTTAGATTCTGATAATTATTACATATTTTAATTAATACATTTTTTTTTTTTCCATTTATACTTATACCATTAATATGTTAAAAAATATATTTTTTATAAATATTAAATAAGTAAAGAAAGCAAAAGCAGTACTTTAAAAAACAATTTATAAAAAATAAGATTTGTTAAAAATGGCATTTTTAATGCTTGTTTAGGCAGATATGATACAATTGGTCTGTTTTTGATTCATACACTACCATTCAAAGGTTTGGGGCTGTTAGGATTTTTTAATGATTTCGAAAGAAGTCTCTTCTGCTCACCAAGGCTGCATTTATCTGATCAAAAATACAGTAAAACTGTAATATTGTGGAAATATTACAATTTAAAATAACTGTTTTCTATGAATATATTTTAAAATGTAATTTATTCCTGTGATCAAAGCTGAATTTTCAGCATCATTACTCCAGTCTTCAGTGTCACATGATCTTCAGAAATCACTCTGATATGCTGATTTGCTGCTCAAGAAACATTTCTGATTATCATCAGTTGAAAACAGTTTTATACATTTTCCTTAAGGATTCCTTGAAGAATAGAAAGTTCAAAAGAACAGCATTTATTAGAAATAGAAATCTTCTATAACATTATAAATGTAATTACTGTCACTTTTGATCAATTCAATGCATCCTTGCTGAAAAAAAACGATTAATTTCTTTAAAAAAAATACTCAAATTTTGAACAGTAGTGTACACTCATCACTCAAAACAAACACCTGGAAATTCGTCTTACCTGATGATGTTTCTTTCTAAATATAATAAATGAAAACACACCTGGCAGTTTCTGCTACATTCCCCATATGAGTGAACTGCTGCGAGTACGCCTGGCATTTCTGGAAACAAGTGTTAGAGAGTCATGTAGACTGTAAATAAAGCATGCGCTTCTCTTGAATTCAGTGTGTGCTTCACATGGATCAGATCTGTGTTTAGCCGCTCGTGTGTGTGTGTGTGTGTGTAATAACCTCGTGCTGCTGTTTGAGCTGTGCCATCAGTTGAGTGTACTGCTCAGATGAGCGCGGAGAGAGAGCTGACGAGCGTGAATGAGACAGTCTGTAGTTGTCCTCACTGACCGGAGCGGCCGGCACCTGCACACCAGAGCATACATAAAACACACTAACACACTGAGATCTGTGTCAGACGCATCTGATCACTTTCACACATACAGATGCAAAGCTGTCCACAAATGCCAATATACGCAAAAACACACCTGATGTGCATGATGCAATAAATGATTATTTATTCAGCATTTTGTAGAAGGGGAGTTTAAAAATCGTATATTTTTCATAGAAAAGGTACATCGCCATCTTGCTCCAACCAAAGTGACCTGAACGCATCTGACATCTTAATTTGGTCTTCCTAACTCATAAATACAAACTTCCTAGAAGTGCTAATTCAACTTTACTCTTTCAGTCAATGACTTTGGCCCTCCAGAACCAATTCTGATGACATTTCGGTGCATCACTGATTCACAAACCTTGGTGATGTCCACAGGAAGTCCGGCCTTGGCGGCAGTAATCATGGCATCGAGGCCTTTAGCGTTTCTCAGGTGCTGAGCGGCTCCCTGCATGTCCTTCATCTCTTTAGAGCGCAGCGCCGCCTTCACAAACTGCTGCCTGCGCATGGTCAGGAAATCCAGCTGCTGCTGGGCTGCACAACAACACACACGTCACACAGCAGTGCCAGTACTATGTACCTGTTAATGCCGATATATAAACACGCACCTACCTTTCCCTCCTAGTTTGGGGGTGTTAGTGGAGCCGGCGGACGAGGCTTTCGGAGGAGCGGGAGCTCTGGATTTCTGAACGGCAGGCTGAGCTGATGGCTACACAGACACAGAGAGATGAAGAATCAGGCCCAAGCACAGTTTCTAGAGGTTCTGCTGAACTTTGACGCTACCTTCTGTGGTTCTTCGTCTGCATCGGCATCTGCGTCCTGATTGGCCAGCTTCATGGCTGTCTCCAGGACGCCCATAAAATTCTGCTCGCCGCCCTCAGTGCCCTGCAGCGGAGGACAACCTGACATGCACAAACATTAACAATGTCAAAACGGAGGTGCATAAACTATATACTATGAAATTGTAAATTCACAATTCTAAGAAAAAAAAGTCAGAATGGTGAGATAAAGAGTCACAATGACCTTTTTTTTTTAATACATGGCAAAAACAAAAAGAGAATTATGAGAAGTAAACTCTAAATTGCAAAACAGTGATTTTTTTGTTATTCTTATAAATTTGTAGATCTTGTAATTATTACTTTTTTTCTCAGAACGGCAAGAAAACACGTCTGAATTGTAAAATTAAAAAGTTACAATTAAATTTATTCTGTGCAGAAACAATAACTACACTGTACCTGTTTTACATATTATAATTAATTACATAATTATAAATGCACACTGCCGTTTGGTATCAGAATATTTTTTATTTTAAAAGAAAAAATATATATAATATAATATAATATAATATAATATAATATAATATAATATATATTTATATGTAATATAATAATTACAAAAGATTTCCGTTTAAAATAAATGCTGTTCTTTTGGACTTTCTATTCGTCAAAAATCCTGAAAAAAAAACAAAAAAAAACATTTCCCACAAAAATCTGAAGCAGCACAACTGTTTTCAACATTGATGATAATCAGGAATGTTTCTTGAGCAGCAAATCAGCATATCAGAGTCATGTGACACTGAAGACTGGAGTAATGATGCTGAAAATTCAGCTTTGATCACAGCAATAAATGATATTTTAACATATATTCACATAGAAAACAGTTCTTTTAAGTTGTAATAGTATTTCAAAATATTACTGTTTTTTTAACACATAAATACAGTCTTGGTGAGCAGAAGAGACTTTCATAAACACAAAAAAAAATCTTACTGATCCCAAACTTTGAACAGCAGTGTGTATAATTAAATTAATTATTGAATTATAAATATATAAATAATCAGCACACCACGCTGTAACATTTACAAATACCTCCTGATATATTTAGATCTTAATGAACACATTATATGGTACATTTCTTAACCTTTTTCACTGGTGAGGCACATTCAAGACATTTTACTATATTTGTCAGAAGTTTGGCTTTTGCTAGAAACAAGTAAACAAGCGTTACCCGGTGGAACAGGAAGTTCTGCCAAATTCACAGGCCGTCCTGCTTTATGAGCTTTAATGGTGTCTTGATATTGCTGAGGTCAAGAACGAACACACACACACACGAGAGATTAAAGAAACAGCAACTGTTCTTATTTAAGTGAGTCTTCGCGTGTGTTACCTTGACTATGCGCTGGTGCATGCGTGCTTTGCGGTCGTCTCCTTTGCTCTTGGCGCTCTCTGCGGCTTCTCTGTATTTGTCCATGCGTTGCTGTAAGGCCTCGGCGACGCTCCGGGGAGCAGAGAGAGCTGAAACACACACACATATAACTGATGTCTGTGTTTGATGCGTGTGAGTGGGACGTCACATTAACACACACACACGTTCTCACCTGTGTCTGGGGCAGCAGTGGAGGCAGCAGGAGGGGCGGCTGCTTTAGAGGACAGCTGGGGAGGGTTAGAGCGTGGCACTTCAACCTCTCCTGAAAGACAGACACTTCAGATCAAAACCAGACTGAACTGAGCAGAATGTAACTGAGGTGAGTGGAGATCTGTGAGGTAAAGCTGTACCAGGAGGGGGCGGCAGTGAGCTGATGTCCACAAACTCGCCTCTGTCAACACTCTCCACCACTGAGTCTAATCTCTGAGGAAAGCGAAAGTTCATTTTCACAGTTGTTAATTGTTGGATAACCTAGTGCTGTGTAGCCAGATAAATCTACAATCCACAATAACACACCTACACTTCTGTTCAAACGTTTGGGGTGAGTATGTGTTTTAATTTTTGTAAAACCAGTCTGTTCTGGTTTCTTTTTGAATATACAGTATTTTTAAAATGTAATTTATTTCTGTGATCAAAGCTGAGTTTTCAGCATCATTACTCCAGTCTTCAGTGTCACATGATCCTTCAGAAATCAGTCTAATATGCTGATTTGCTGCTCAAGAAATGTTTATTATTATCATCATTGTTGAAATCAGTTGAGGTGCTTCATATTTCTGTTTTTAATTCAGGTTTATTTGATAACCATAAAGTTAAAAATAACAGCAGAATTTTTTTGTAACATTATAAATGTCTTTACCTGTGTTATTTTAGTATCATCGCGTTTATTTGTAATATTTTGAATTCGTTTTTATTTTTATATTTTCCATTTTCCTTTTTAATTTTGTTAAAGTTTTAGTAATTTTGTTTGTTTTTATTAGTTTTTTTATCAGTTATTTCTTTAAATATTTCTCTATAGTTTTTATTTATTTTTATATAAGTTTAAGTATATCAAGATAAACTAAATGAAAATGAGAAATCTTGCCTAGGCAACTAGCTGAAGTACAATAAGTTTAGGTTTTTATATTTTATCTCACTTAACATTTATTTAATTTTTTAAGTAACATAAAAAAATGTTTTTTTTCTAATTCTAATTCTAATTTATTTATAATATCCAGTTTATCTGTAATTACCCTGGCACTTTTGATCAATTGAATGCATTCTTGCTGAATAGAAGTATTAATATCTTTCAAAATAAATAATCGTACAGACGGCAAACTTTTGAATCTTACTGCACATAAAAAAAATGCGTAGGGCAACAAAGAAATTTGTGTAAATGTGTGACTTTGTGACCCAAATTAGACCTGATGATCATAAACTGGCAAAACTCATTCACCTTGAACATTTGGTAGAGTTGTTTGGCTTGTTCAGTGTTTCCGCTCTGCTTGGCCTTTAAGGCTGCCAGCTTATACTCTATCTGTCTGCTTAATATGCTCGCTTTGAGCTCTGAAACACACACAATCACACATGACAAGTTGTACGGCAACAGCTTCACAGTGACAGTTAATGAGAAAGTCAGAGCGCGAGTGTGTGTGTGTACCTGAGTGCTGTGTGTGTGTGTGTGTGGTGTGTGTGTACCTGAGTGCTGTGTGTGTGTGGTGTGTGTGTATGTGTGTGTGTGTGTGTACCGGAGTGCTGTGTGTGTGTGTGTGTGTGTGTGTGTGTGTGCACGTCCCTGACGGTGCAGAGCGTAATACTAGAGTATGTGCCTGATGAGAACGCTAGTGTGAGGTTTGCTATCAGGATGTCCATGACTGCATGTTGCGGAGCATGGCCTCGAAGCGCTCCATGCTGGGGGCCTGAGCGTGGGACAGCTGGTCGGTCAGCCGACTGTACAGACTGAAGGACTTGAGCTCCAGCCAAATAAAGCCAAAGTGGTCATCATCGAATAGCACGAACAGACCCGGTGTGCGCTCTGGACTCGTGAAGCCGTGGCCGGCGATCAGGCTGTAGCAGCTGAGGCTTGGATGGAGCGACTGGCTTGACATTGGCCGTCTGTGGTGGCGTGTTTGCTGGAGCAGGTTTTTCTTGCTCTGTGATTGGCTTGGCCTGCGGAGCAGCGGAGGGTTTTCCACCGGTGGCCACAGGAGGAGGAATCTCATCTTCATTGATGGGCTTCCCCTTTTTAACTGACATCAGCATAGACTGTAGAGTCTAAAAACAGGAAATGTGTTACTAACCGCTCAGAAATCCTCAGACAAATATACTATATCAAATACAGTATAAATTATTTATTTTACAGATTTTTAAAATCAAGTTTACATTTTTTTTTCTTCAAATTTATACGTTTTCATTATTATTTATAATTTAATTATTATTTTGGTAAGTATTATGTAAATTAAATTGCAGTAATTGTTATATATCACCTTTACGTTGGCCACCCTGCTCTCTAAGACAGAGGTCTTCAGCCCTGCTCCTGCAAAGTTTATTTCCACCCTGCTTCAGCACACCTGCCGGTGTATTTTCAAGCAGTCTTGAGGAGCTTGATTAGCTGCTTCTGGTGTGTTTGATTAGGGTTGCAGCTAAACTCTGCAGGACAGTGGCTCTCCAGGAACAGGGCTGAAGACCCCTGCTCTGAGACACTATCATCGGCCATCAAAAAGTCGATGTGGGTGGAGCTCTAGTCCCACCTTCAGTCCGCGGTCGTATCGCCGTGCTTTGCTGGTCTCGCCCGCGGCCTTGGCATTGGTAATGGCTGTTTGGTACATGTCCAAGCGCTCTTGCAGGCAAGCCTCCAGGCTGGCAGGTGCATTCTGGGACGCGAGCGCTGCATTGGAGCGTTGAGGAGGCACTGGTGACGGAGGAGGTTTCCTGACCACTTGCTCCTCATCGTCTTCCAGCACCTCACTCAACTCGGCCTGAAACATAGAAAACGACTTCGATCAAAACCTGCTCCTGAGAGAAAGATCGCATCTGATGTGCCACCTGTAGTGCTGTAAAGACAAGAAGGGTTTTGTCCTACCAAGAGATCAGCGTCGTTCTCCAAATCACCATCATCGTCTCCGTCCTCGTCCAGGTCTTTCATACAAAGCGCTGCCATCCGCTCAATGTCCACCATGGGCACCGGAGCTACATTATGCAAGAAAGACAGAAAGATGGCAAGGGATCAAGGTTTGGCTTGCTGTTGGTAGACGGCATAAATACATAACATCCTCACCTTTTCCTCCAGGTTTCTTGCCCGCTGGTCCGCTCCTCCCTCCTCCTCCCATCAATGCCAGAAGCTCCGCCTCCAGCTCCTCATCATTTCCTCCAGAGTCATCCAGCCCGCCGTCAGGAGCCAAATCCAGCAGCAGTCCCATCTGATTACATGTGAGGATGGAGATATTATTTTAGTTTTTTATCAATATTTTGAATTACATTATCTTTTCATTTCAGATAAAGTTTTAGTCATTTTGTTGTGTGCCATTCTTTGTCTATACATGTAAATATGCCTAAATATTTATAGCTTGTTATTACATATGAACTGTTGCAAATTCAAAAGCATTTTATATTATATGTCTATACATGTTTTAATAATTTTCCTTTCAATTTTTATTTTATTACTTTATTATGGTACTTCGGGTTAAAGTAAAGGACAGTTAGAAATGTGGCCTTTGCAACTAGCATGAATAAAAAATACTTTTTTTACCTTTTATTTTGGTTAATGTTTATTTTATTTCAAGTGTCATTTTTTAATAGGTTTAATAGGTTTTTTCATTTCATACTGACTTCAAAGATGACATTTTAATATTGCCTTTGCAACTAGCATGAATTAAAAAAAAACCCGGAAATAACGGTTATTTCGGTTAATGTTTATTTTCTTTCAAGTGACAATTTTAATAGGTTTTAGTTTTAATTTACAATAATAACCCTCAAAACTGATTTATAGATTCAAAAGCATTTTATGAACCTATATGTGTGGCACTCAAAAGTGAATGCAGTTTAAGTGCACTAAATATTTGGAAATGTCCTTATTGCATCACCACAAACCATTAAACATTATAAAGAAAAAAAATGCAAAGATGAATAGTTCACAATATGATCTATAACACATATTTAGAAAATAAATAGGGCGATTTTTTTTTCCCATTTCATGCTGACTTCATCATATGATTCTGGACACAGTCCTGACTCTCATCTGGTTTATTACCTGTTTGGCCCTGGCAGCCCCCTGGCCCTTCTGCGGAGGGTTCCGGCTTCGACTCATTTTCTCCGCAGGTCCTTCAAACCTGGAGTGAGAAAAATAATGATTCATTAACAGTGTTGGGGGTAACGCATTACAAGTAACGTGAGTTACGTAATCAGATTACTTTTTTCAAGTAACTAGTAAAGTAATGCATTACTTTTAAAAGTAATGCATTACTTTTAAAAGTAATGCATTACTTTTAAAAGTAATGCATTACTTTTAAAAGTAATGCATTACTTTTAAAAGTAATGCATTACTTTTAAAAGTAATGCATTACTTTTAAAAGTAATGCATTACTTTTAAAAGTAATGCATTACTTTTAAAAGTAATGCATTACTTTTAAAAGTAATGCATTACTTTTAAAAGTAATGCATTACTTTTAAAAGTAATGCATTACTTTTAAAAGTAATGCATTACTTTTAAAAGTAATGCATTACTTTTAAAAGTAATGCATTACTTTTAAAAGTAATGCATTACTTTTAAAAGTAATGCATTACTTTTAAAAGTAATGCATTACTTTTAAAAGTAATGCATTACTTTTAAAAGTAATGCATTACTTTTAAAAGTAATGCATTACTTTTAAAAGTAATGCATTACTTTTAAAAGTAATGCATTACTTTTAAAAGTAATGCATTACTTTTAAAAGTAACTTTCCCCAACACTGTGCATTAATAATACTACAAAACAGCCACTGCACCAGCCTTTCAGTGACACCACAACCAACCACACCAGACAGTGAGTGGAGTCATATCGCATTCCTAAATCATTACGTGAATAATGACGTCTGTATTTGCATAATCAATGCACAGACATAATCATCGGCCAAATATGCACATCTAATAGTTTAATATTTCTCCCAGAGCTCCATCACCTTACATTAACTGACTAAGCTCAATAGGGAATGTTTAAACAGCATTTATCTTGCTAGTGTTTACTGGTTAATCCAAAGCACATCTTTGGCTGATTTTGCACCAGAACTGTTAGAGGCAAAGCGCAACGAAGCCACAAAATAAATATCGGATCATTCACAATATAAATCATAACGTAAACAACTAATTCAGTCAAAGTCTCTGCTAGCGCGGAGGCTAATTCTCACATCAGACTCTATTTACTAATCATTTGAACGCGATACCTTGATCATATGTTCCTCCGAGGGCGGGTTACGTGGTAAATATCTGTTCCGCTGAGAAGAACAAGCTGCCTGTCATGAAGTTTTTGCACCAGAATGTCATAAACATAGAGATAAACACAAATCTGCACTGCTGTCAATTTAGCTCCAGCACTTCCTGCTTTTCGCCAGGTTTCCCATAGCAACGACAGAGGCTCGCGCTTTACGGCACGCGGGAACGACGGCGCCCCACAGCCCAGGATCTGTTAGTTGAGATTTTAAATCATATTTGACACTTTATGAGGGTTTGTCTTGTTATAGTTTGTTTTCTCTGAGAAAATGTGCAGAAATAGCTTACTAAATATGACATCACGAATAGCGTCACGAATGTTTCGCGCGCTTATTTGACTAGTCTGTCAAATTAATCACGTGCTATTTACAACGGTTTTAAACGGTTTATTTGATATGTTAAAGTGATTTATAATTGGTTATAAGAATTTATTTTACAAAATTGGGTCAGGAAAAATTAACGAATACATTTGAACGAACCATCTACAGTATGCACAATTAAAAGAGTCAAGTGTGTAATTAACATGTTTGAACTTTTATTCATTTAGTTGAATCTGGACTAAAACAAGACAATGGCCAAAAGAAAATCGAAGACGACAGGTACCTTGGACCCATGTAAACATAATTATCAGTCATTCATACTACCAGCTTGATTAGAGCTATATTACATATTTAATTTGTCAGTAAACATGCTGATGCAGGTAAATGTCTTTTAGCAGAGTTCAAACCCCCTAAGAGAGCAAAACGACAGAAAAGCACTGAAGCAACAAACCAGTCTGAAGATGAAAATCAGGTGATTTCTCTCTCGATTACATGCTATGACATAACATTTTGAAGGAATTACAATATGCTTTGATGTCACTGTGCTGTTATATTTGTGTTTTCGTTTGTTGGTTCACTTAACTCTTTACCTTAATGTCCAGACTCTGACACCAGAGTCAGAAAACAACAATTCCCACAATGCATTGTGCTCAGACAAGCTGGATGAACATCAGCCTGGACAGAGCACATTACAAGACACTCAGACAACAGAATTCCCAGTAGATCCGTGTTGTTCCTTGGAAGAGAAAACAAGCCATTATGATAATAATGAGTTTGGAAATGGCACAAATCCACTCTCTCATGAGATTGAACAAACTGCAGCGGTCCCACTACAAACCCCAGAACTCGACAAAAGCGACAAGCACACTCTCTCTAGACCTTTGAATACAGAAGCTATTAATGTAGATCAGCCCAATAGAGAGCTAGATGATGAAGAGCGTGAAATCACTAGAAATTCAAATCATCAATCTCAGAAGGTCCCAGATGACTGCGACTCTGAATTACCATCCGATGAGCATCAGACCGAGAGAGAATCGTCACATGAGGGGAATACAGCCACTGAACCCAAGATGGATGAACAATTAGGGTCTTCAGACATCGTAGCGGAGACCTCATATGACCAGATCCAGATGCCTGAAGATGCAGGTTCTGCAGATCCTCTAGTAAAGAGGAACATAAGAAAGAGGATGGGAATGTGCAGGCTTGGAGAAAGGAAGAAGATGCTCAAGGGACAGCTGACTAGAGGGAATGTGTTTGAAGGAAGCCAGGAGAACGAGGCGGGGGAAATCACTAATGAAGGGCCGGTCATGACGAGTGACGGTTTGAAAAAGGATATCTCGATTTCTGTTGAAGAAGAGGGAGTTACTGAGTCAGAGGTTTCAGTGCCCTCCTTCTCAACCTCCTGCCCAATGGAGGATACACCCGTACAAGAGCAACAGGAGCAGCCTGGGAATGAAGTTCAGATACTGGTCAAATGCATGTCAAGGGAGCCTGTTACTCATGAAACTGATAATGCAATCCCATCCCATGCTGATGCTGATGATCTAAACCCTCTCGAGCAAAATGAAACTGAATGCACGGAGCAAAATGCTACTGAAAGCAACATTAGAGAAGATAGCAATGAGGTCACAACTGAGATTGGTACTGAAGTACCTGTCGATTTTGCTGAAGTTTGCAAGGACTCAACTGATATTTCAGCTCAAGAAGAGGTTGTGATAGCCGGTTCACTTGAAGTTCCCAAAGAGGCCAATGAAGGCTCTGCATCCGCTTCTGAGGTTGCTAACCAGTTTGGAGAAGAACTCGTAGCGGGAGGCGACAAGACCGAGCAGTGCAGTCCGTGTGAATGTGACATGAACGCCTCTACTAGTGACCACACCAGTGAACAGTGTGTGGAGCTCATGGACGTCGCAGCCGATGAGACCATCAGGGCACCTCCTGTAATCCATGAAACAGAAGATAAGTGTGAGTCTTCAGACTTTTCTCAGGTTGCCGCCACTGTCACAGCTGAGAACAAGGCAGACAACAGGGTGTCGAGTTTGTCCATACCTGCAGCTCCACCGGGTGGTGATAATGAAGATGTGCAAGTGAGTTATTCTTAACGTACATTTCAAGCAGGGGTGTCCAAACCTGCTCTTGAAGGGCCACTGTCCTGCAGAGTTTAGCTCCAGCCCTAATCAAACACACCTGAACCAGTTAATTAAGCTTTTCAGACTCAGAAGAAATGTGTTGGAGCTAAACTCTGAAGGACGCTGTCCCTCCAGGATCAGGTATAGACACCCCTGACTTAAAAGAACCAGTCGTAATTCCAAAGCCATATTTCAAGAAGATATACTGCAGAATGTTCTCTGAAGTGCTTTTAAGATCTAGAAAAGTCATAAAAGCACAATAAAAGTAGTCCATAGGACTTCTACGATAGCTTTGGGTGAGAAAAAGGCCAGAATATAAAGTGTTAGTTGACACAGAAATCAGTGTGGGTGCCATCAAACCTGTGTCATTGGTGTGTAATATTCCTTTGAAATACCAAAACCACTACTTGGTGTTTTTTTATTTGACTTTAGTTTTAAATTTACGGTGTAGGTTTTGGTATCCAAAACTCTCACATGTCCTTTAAAGTCAGCATTAAGTTACTAAAACGGAGTTGTATCCTCAGTCGTTTACAGAGCGTGTAAGTTTACTGAGAGATGCTCATGAGCCTCTTCGGAGTCCTGCCGCTGAACCGGATCCCTCCAGCCCTTTATCCATGCACTCGGTGACAGATTCCCAGCTCAACAACATCCCTCTGAGGTGAGACAAGTGTGAAAGCCATTGACTTTGAATGTTACTGGAGGTCTGTTTAGGTTTCTAGAAGTTGGTTAAATTTCAGACTTTACTGTCCACAACATTAATGCACAGCGCAAGGTGTTTTTGTCCATTTTCATGGTTTATATTTTGCTCAGTTTGGAGGATCTCCCCATCTCAGAAGCCTCCTGTGATCTGGAAGATGCCACAGAGCTTGTATGTGGCCTAATCAGAGATATTGCCTCTCTGAAGTAAGTCAGGATTTGTTTTGAGCACTTAAACACAATTCTGATTTTGTGGTTTACACTATTAAGTTTATTATTAAATAACACGGTAAAGAACAGTTTTGACCATAAACAGTAATTTCTATGTTTTCTTGCAGTCAGTTATTGATGGACGCACGCAGGCAGATTGGATTTGGGCAACAAAGCAGAAAACCTCTGCTCTACACTCAGAAATATAGGCATAATACCAACAGATTCTGAACGTCTTTTACTGCATAAAAAAAAAAAAAAAAAAAAAGAACACTGAATAATTTGCACTGATGAGTTCAGACAGCAGGCACTGGTTTACAACAGTTCAGTTACACTTGTTCGAGCAAAGGCACAACATGCATAGAATTGCTGTTTTAGTAAGCCAAAGTTAACACTTTTCTTAGGAGGTTCAAGCAAAGTAGTAAACATTGTAATTCTGTCAATCACAGGGTGTGACCCCCAAGACTGAAGGGTCGTAACCTTAGCAACCGGTCTTCAAAGTTCCAGTCATAAATCGGTCCAAATTCCTGTTCAAAACACATTCCGCATAAATAAAATGAATGTTTCTGGTTGTTGCTGTGCGCGTTTGATTCGGTGAAATCATGTTTTGTAAAACTACACATCAAAAAAAGATTGTCAAACTGAACCAATTTCAGCTGACGTGCTGTGATATGAACACATAGGTTTCCAAAAAGTTCACTGAACACGTTTCTGTTGTTCATTTTCTTGCGTTTGTCACAAAGTAAACCATTTTTAAACAAATGTACATGAACTTCCTGATGCCACCTGAACAAAACCTGATGATCATGTTCTCCAAAATGCAGTGAAAATAGAGAAATAAAAACAGAAGATTGAGGTAGTTATATATTAATGCAAAATATAGGCAGCTTTAAAGAGAAACACACCTAAATAACATTAAAAGCATTTATATATTATTTCACCAGAGTATCACAAAATACTTTTTTTTTTTTTTTTTAGTAAAATTAAACAAGAGCTAGTTCACACGTGGTTGCACCTGTAGCGAGCCTATTGGCTTGTGTACAAGTTTGTTCAAAGACAAAACAAAAAGAGTGAAAAAACACCACCACTGCACACAAGAGGAAGACATAAAAAAGCGTGCAAAATCAAACACCAAAAAGCACACATGCATGCAAACTCACAAGCCATTATGGATTGAACAATTAAAGTTTAAAACTTAAATATTAAAACCACGCGTAAAAATGTTCTTCTCGTATACCGTGGCCAGATCTTTTACGGGTCAGACACGGCCGGTTCACCATGTTGTCTTGGCGTACACGGAGCTGTAGGTTTTGTCCACGAGCGGGCAGAATCTCTTGGTGTGCGCTTTGGCCCCGGTGGCTCCGCACAGGGGACACACGTACTGGCTCAAGTACGGGCACATCACGGCTCCGGCGCGGTCTTTTAAGTAGTGTGAGGTGAACACGGCTTCGGTCTCTCCGTTGTGTTTGCAGAAGCTGCAGAACTTCTTCTCGGATGGGCTGCTGCGGGTGCTTTTGCCGCGTTCCGGGTCTCTTTTCTCCGTCGTCAGGGTCCCGTGCGCTCGCGTCTGGCCGCTTGGAGACTCCAGGAGCGCGGCGGCGGCGGCGGTGTCATCGGCCGCCTCAGGCTGCTCTGCTGGCCGTTGCATGCCTCTGATCATGTCCGCCAGACCCATGTAATCCTTCCAGGGCTGAAAGTCCTGATTTCTAGACTCCATAGATCCATGAGCCGACAAGAAGTAGCGGAGAAGAGAAAATGCCATGGCATTCGCCGAGTGCGACAGAAACGTGAAGCACGCGCTGAGCACGCGTGGGTTTTAAAGGGCGGACGTCACGGCAGGAGACCA